GGAAAAGAATGAATATCTCCATTCTCCCACCCTCCTGTTGTGAAGGATTAAGAAAAAAATAAAGCCTCAGGAGAAGGAATGGATACGCTGCTTCCCTCAGCTTTCCCGTGATCACTCTGTGGGGCAGGAGGCACTTCGCTCACATTCTGAAGACCCTCCATTTAAGCGCAGCTGTCTTGCAGAGAGATGATGGACGTAACAGGTTAAGAGTATTACCGTGTGAGAAAAGTTCACGGTAACAAAAACCCAAGCGTGAACTCTTCACTGGTGTCATGATGGACATGGTAATTGAAGGTACATGTGTTGCATGTGCTATAGATAGGACAGGATACGTGCAACAGAAAAAACCACTCACTGCTGAACAGGATTTATTCCTCTCTTAATCCTTTAACTTTCCTGCAGCAATGTTTTAAAAGGGAAAGGTATGTCAGAAAATTACAGTTCCCTATGTTCATCTATTATACCTAACATTTTTATATTTATGCTTACATATTATAATGAGGTTTGCTTTGTTTGTGCATATTTAAAAAGCACAATGATACTGATTAAACATGTTTTGTAAAGATGTAAAGATCACATAAAGCTACAATTATAGTACAAATTGTAGATGAAAATAGAATTTCAAGGCCATTTCAGTACAGGATTGATGTAACCTCCTTTCTGTTGCAGATCAAAAATAAACAATATACCAAGTGTGAGATTACATTTTTTTTACCGTGGATGTTTGCATGGTCTGCAAAGTCTGTAGTTTTAAACATTTTGAATTTTTTCTCTTTTTAATGATCACAACTGTGCTCTCAGTATCTGAACACATACCAGAAGTTCCTATTTAAAAATTCAATGTATTTTAGCCTTTATTAGGAGGGAAACAATGTTTTCTTTCTGAAGTTAACATTAATTTGGCTGTCAACATTAAATGCTTGAAGTAAATGATTCCATACATTCAGAGTTAATAGGCTGTATTTTCCTTAAGGTTCATTTTCTACAAGCCCCACCAACAGCTACAACTGCAAATTAATAATAATAATAAAAAAAAGTGTACAGATTGGAACGGACCTGACTTCTTTTTAATACTGGATTTCTCGAGATTCAAAATTGTATTATTCAAAATTATTATCTGCCACACTACCCAAGTATTTATTTAAATATACAGGCAAAAAATATCATCTAATTGAACTGTACTGGGATCACAAAGATAGTTATGATGTCTGATCTTTAAAATAATCAGGAACTTTTCCTCAACAAAAAGTTTAGGACTAGGAAAAAGGACTCCTACTAAAAGAAGCCTGTTTTTAATTCAGAAGAGGTCCCAGCATGCAAAAACGCATCTTAGCAGCTTATTGTTCCACTATAAAATTACATGCACAATATGCCTTTGCCTTTGAAATGTATTTTAAGTATGTATTTACAAGTACTTTTAAATACCTGTTATCATTTCAAGCTGATAAAACAGAAATCCAGACACTGTGTGGTATCTATGCAACCCTTAGCGCCTGTCCCGAGGAAAACCGACGGCCCATCCACCTGCAGTTGCAGAGCGGGGCTTTGAAGGTGACACTGGAGGCAGAAAGTCCCCATAAACGCACAGGCGGTTTGAATATATCTCATGCAATCCACCTGCAATCCGCTTACAATGGAAGTGGACTTAAGACTAGGTCATAATTGTATCGTGTTAATTTTTAAATCTGCGCTGTGCCTACAAAGAGCGGTACTAGTTAGCCTTATCAACTTCAAAGTCTCGTGACAGTTGCTGGCTACAGCCACACAAACGCACTTTATGAGTGAGCAACTAGAGCAATTTCCTCAGGCTGCTTTGCATCTTCTGCTTCCCTGTTCATTTAATTTCTTTTTAAACGAAGAGGAAACGGAAGAGATTTGTCCCTGCTAAAGGACAGCGGAGCACCAAGGAGTTCCACTATTTTAAGATCTAACTGGCTAAAACGCGGGTCCTCTGCCACTCACACTACTCCCTCACCAAATATTCTAGAAATAAGCTCATTTCTATACTCAACTTTAGCCCGTGGTAGGATCTCTCAAACTTGACTGTATGCAAACGCTGGGGTTAATTATCAGAGAAGTGTGACAGGGGAACGGGATTTTCTAAAGGTCTAGTCTCTTTCTTCAAAGCTTTAATTTTAACCGTGCCAGTCTGAAGTTTACATGGAATCTAAATACATCTGAAAGACTTTATTCTAGAATAATTGGGATGTAATTTCAATCAAGGACTAAAAATTTAATAACTACTTTACAAAGGTAAAAGCAAAGCAATGAAGTCATTAGTGTTCTAGTCAGGCTTCCTAGGAAAGCATTAAGTTAAGAATCTTTTGAGAACTGCAGAAAAGAAAGAAAAGGGAGGGAGAAAAGATTAAGTAGCAGCTTGTTCTGAGAAAGAGGAGCTGATGCATCAGTGGACACTGGCAAAGTTTGTGGGCTGGTATCTCAAAATCTCTGGAAGGGGAGCAGGGCATGTGATTACATGGCTTTGTGTTAAACTGGAAGCCTCATCTTATTTTTCAATCTTCAGATTTCACAGTATCGATCTCATTAAGCTAGTGTTTTCATGTTGTAACTGCAGCAAATGTAGTTGCTGTGCAAAAGCTGTGGAGTAATGTTGCAAATGAATGACGAGTATTTAATAATTGCCGTGGAACCACATTTAACTGCAGGTCTAAACTGAATTGAGTGGTCAAACGCAGTGGTAAAAACACTGCTGGCTGAAGTGATAAAAACATGTCATTAGTCCTCAGAAGTAAACGCTGTAAGATTTCAAGTAGCAATGTAGAAACTACTGCTGCTTATTTCTAAAGGTATGGAAGAAACATCTTCCCTGTGATCAAATGTTGTAACAGGATTGTTTTTTCCTAGTCAGTTTAAAAAAAAAAAAAAAAAAAAAGAAAAGCAATGAATCTGATAGTCCTTCAGGTGAGATTTTGCTATGCAATTGCTGCCATCCAAATACAGCTGATGTGATACTTTCAGATATCAAGGACATGTGCTGAGTACCAAACAACAGTGCCTTAGACAACAAAAAATGATAATCACCAATGCAGTTATAAATAAATGAGATACAAGAACTTTTAATATTTCATATGAAATTTGCAACATTCTTCTCTGCTTGCAATATAGCACAAATTGAGCAATTTTGAGATGAGATTAAATAAGGCAAGAGACAGCTTTTCTATTTAATGACAGGATCTGGGAAAAAAAACTACGAAAGCAAACTTCCAAATTACTACAAATGCCAGGCAAAAATAGAAAGCAAAGTGTCAAATGATCTTTGCCATTTGTTCAGACAAAAAAAAAAAAAAAAGAACAAAACCCCAAAACTCTGAGTATAGATATTCTGAACCAATGTCATACGTGTGATCACAACTTCATTTTGATCCGTTGAAAAAAGGGTAAGAGTGGAAGATTGGGGAAGTTCAAAAATACTCTCTGCTATCGTAAACTTACAGTTGATTAATTGAAAGGGGAGCACTGAAATTTCAGCTTTCCAGTAACAGTCTGATGTCACTTTAAGCAAGATTGTGCCTCTGTATTTGTCTCTGACTAGCTTAATCTGTATATTTGCAGTGAACATAAGGAGGACTTTGATCAAAACACAACATGCATTTTACACAACAAGGAAGTCTACAGAGAGGCACTACATTTACAAAAGCAATTGAAGGTGGTTTCAAAGGGAGTTGACAGATTAGAGGATGATGACACTGCTGCTGCGGTCTCAATGGAAATCTGGCTTGATCTAATTAACAACAACGAACTAGAACCACAAAAAGATAATTCAAACATGATTTAAAGAAGTTATATTACCTTTTTACTAGCGTACCGATGGAGCCTTTCCCTTACTGATCACAGAACAAGTCAAAGGTTGAACACAAAACAAGAATAAAAGGCCCGATATCCTTAATTTACCTCCAGCATTTGAAATTGAAGCCTGAGATCTAGCCCAAATATTTGACTATGGAAGTAGAGAATATCCGTGTATTCACATGAAAATGATAAAAAATTGTTAAGTCACACTCATGACAACTTGAGTGAATTGGGAAATCAAAATGGAAGATGATTTTTAAGACATGACTATATGTTACTGAGTGCTACCACGTTCAAATGGAACACAGCAAATGGAGCACAGCATGTAGGACAACTTGCCTGTTTCATTTGACATCTGTGTACATGCACCAGAAAGCTCCCAGGTTATTCCCATCCCCTTTTTGTTCAGATTCCTCACCCTAGGAAAAATGCACTGGGAGGAACACTTCCCAGCAATCCTGAAGGCAATCGGGCTTGTAGTTGAAGCCAGTAAGAATGCCAGTGACTGATCTGCGCTGACATTTCCACAGCTGTCAGTACTAGGTGACTGCTGCCCGTATGCGGCCTGTAGCACAGGCATTTCTGTGAATCTTAGTTCTGATGCACCTTTTGTACTAAACCCACTTTCACTGGCTCTTCTGGCCGACTGTCTTCTCTGAATGACAATCACTAAGACATCACGTAACGTGCTTACGTGCATATATGCTTCTGTACACACATGTCTAACGACATATAATCATCCTAGCATTCAATCATTATGGCATTTTCCACTGGATGCATTTTACAGGTGGGAACTGCGGCAATGATTTACTGCATTCATAGGAAATGAGCAACTTTGCCAGGGAATGTAGAAGTTACTGAAAAATGCAGCAGCCACTTGGACACATTTTGGGTGCTGTTTGACCACTTAAAAGACAAGGAGACAGGGAATCTCCGAATAAGTGAATTGTTCCATTCTCCTTGCAGTTATCTTCCTGCTTTTTAACTTTTGCTCACGGAATTTAAAAAAAAAACCTCTCTAATTGCAACTGGTAGTTTTTATTTCCTTCTAATATTACTAGATAGAAATACTACTACCTCAATAGCCAACTGGCAACTACAACTCAGCATTTTCTGTAGTATATACCTCTTACCGTATTAATTCAGGCATTTTTCCTCTTTAGCCCTCAAAATTATACGTATTTTTTTACCTTTGTGTCATAATTTTGTAGGCATCTGGAAGGAAGCATTCTGTGTTCTCCATCTGGAAAGGGTCAGCATCACAAATCTTGTCATCTGTCCGTCCATAGTTAGCACTTTCTATCATAATAACATCGCTTCCCGGACACCGGAGGTCAATGGAGTAGCCTTCGCAGGAGAGTTCCCTCCTAACCAAACCAAACGGTAGTGCTGCTCGGCTGAAACCTAAAAAAAAAAAAAAAAAAAGGGGGGGGATTGAGCCTAAAGGATATACTGCATTCGACTGTTCTTCTTCTGTCACATAGGCACTAACTTTCATCAGTGTGCTGAAGGAAGTGCACCTTTAAACAGTTTGACCTGGCACCATGTTAAGTGAAGCATCTTTCATGAAACTGTCACATCCCTACACCACTGCTGCTGTGTCCATAGTCTGGGAAAGGAGGAAATTCCTCTTCACATTTTCTAACCCTTGCCAGGGCTCCTGTCTGCACGGTTACATTGCACGTTCCCGTTCCCAACTCTTTTCTCTCTGCTTCTTTTTCTCCTCTTTGGGCACAGTCAGACAGGCCATGTCTGAAAGTGGAAAGCAGCAGAGCAGACAGGATTTGCAAATGCAGAAGTGATTAAAAAAAAAAAAACCCAATAAAACAAAACCAAAGCCATAGTTCCAACTTCACTAGCCTTTCTTAATTTGTATCTTCCTTTCTCTGGGAAGAATTGGTTTCTTTTGCTTCGCTGTTTTATATCCCCAGCATGGACATGTGCCACCAGATCCCATATACATTCTGATGCTTTATCTAGTTGAACTTCAGTACTCCTTACCTTTTACATAAATTAAACCACAGACAGGTAAGATATTGAACAAATATATAAATGATCAGTACAGCAAACTGCAGATGTGTACTATATAAAATCTCCCTGTTCTTCCCAAAAATTACATATGTGTTTTCAGGGAATTCTCATTTTTAACATGTTTTTCTGCATGAGAGAATTCCTAAAAATAGGTAACTTCTCTAAGAGTAATGAAGCAGTATCAGCTGCTTTAAAAACAAAACAGTGGTCCAGATATTCATCCAGATGTTGTGTCTTTTACAGACATTTCCTTATGCAAAAAATATATTGCATCAAAAACCAACTGTAGCTGTATACTACACTTTCTTGTACACAGACGCTAGTGTATGAAACAGAGTACTTCTGTTTCTTACAAAACGTGTGCATTACTGTCTTTTGGAAGACAAGTTGGGTAACATGACAGTGTTAAATACCTACTTCTTTAAAATAGTAAATCCTTTCAAATTTTCAACAGAATCACAAGTATTTCATATTTTTAAAAAAAGTCATCCTAATACAGTAGCACAAGGCCATTAATATTTCAGCACAGGCTGCTGGATACAAGTTGTGACAGCAAAGAGAAACAGCTAGTAGGTATGGCAAGTTGGAGCTCTGCGGTGTTTTCAAGGCAAAGAAAATAAACTTTTCTTAAGTATGATGCGTTAGAAGAGGCAAGGAAGCGAGGATCTAAAAAGATCACGAACAACTTGAGATAACCCCTTGATAGTAAATTTTCACACGAACCCGAGGATGTCACTTTTTCTACTGAATTAACGATCTGTGGATGAAAACTCCTAGTGTATGACGATGATTATCTGCTAGGGCTGCAAAACAGAGCTGTTGATCCTGATCACGCCCGTGTCAGGATGGGGCTGCCTGGCAGCCAGGGCCCATCTCCCCGTCCGCCCCTCCTCTACCTGCACGCCCCTGCCTTCCCCTTCGCATCAGCGCCAGCTTTGTCCGCCTCGCGGCGTGAAGTGATGCGAGGGGCCGGGCTGACTCCGACCCCTCTCCACTGCAGAAGAGCCCACGGGCTCAGAGGACCAGCTCTCCGGCTGGGTGGGAATTCACCCAGCACAAGGCGAAGGGGAAGGCCAGCACGCAGCAACCAGGTCTGCCTCTGTATTACATATCCTACATGAAATGGGTACCATTACTCTGCCAGCGTGTTTCAGTATTTGTTAATAAAGGAAGAAGCCGTATTGCTGGAGAAAGCACCACAGTTCCATCTCAAACTCACTGCTGGCCGTCGCTTTGGCTGCACATACCATGTGCAATAGCAAACACTATTATTAGAGGCTTGCTGAAGTATCACGAGCTGAAAGCTGGGAAGAGCTAAAACACAAATCCATCACGTTAACACCCTATATGTTCCTCCCATGCAGCAAATTAATACAACGAAGACAGAAGCTGCTCACGGCTCAGTGAGGGCGTGAAACGGGCACAGAGAGGGGTACGCGCAAAGGCCCACCACACATGCATACAGCAGCTCCTTTGATTAATTACCATCGCGACAGCCGTGGTGGGACCAAATATAATCCTGCTAGTGACTGCCATTCCTACATCCTCCCGCTCCTGTCAAATTTAATGCCATCCACATAAAGCTCATCCCTCCAGCAATGGTGCCTGTATCTCCTGCGCTCAGCAGGGCTTCCCCCAGCATCCAGCCCTGCCACGGCCTGGCCGGGGGCGTCTGGCCGCCCCTTCCCTCCCTCCCTGCTTCCCACCGGAGCCCCACACGTGCCATCACACGGATGCACGGCCCCACTTTCGGGTTTTGATCGGCAAGGAGGGGAACCGCGGCTTTGGCTGTCCAAAGGGGATTTCTGCAGAAGGGCCGGGGGTGCGTAGGGCACAGCCACTGAGGTGTCGGTGCCTACACACGCAGCGTCCGTGCAGCAGTGGGTCGGACGTACGGATTGCTACGGGGCAGGGCTGACAAACCCACCCCGAGCTACCTGTGGCAAGTCCTGAACCCTTACTGCAGATCCTGCAGCACAGCCTCAACTTCTGCATGGAAATACCTTGAATCCAAACAGAAGACCTCCGCAGTTTGTTACAGCTATCAGCTGCCTGCAAATCTTATTTCATCATCTATAGCAACTGCTATAAGTACTACGAATGTGTTTTATCCTGCAATTTTTCCCCCTGCAGGCATCCATGAGAAGTTCTGTATCAGGACAAGCATTAAAAATACTAGAGCTACGTTAGATCACTTCACAGGCAACAGAGGACCCACCTGAGACTGTAATGTAGGCGTTATATTGTAAAAGCAGCAAGCAATAAAGCAAAACAATGCAGCACGGGTTAGGTGGGGAGACTGCTCGAAGGAATGTCCATGGCTCAGAAAGAATTTTCACTGAATAAAATAAATAAATTTAAAGTCCACTAACAAAGTTGCTGTGATCTTTATTCTGAAGCTTTATTTGTAATCTTTTCCTATCAACAAAGAAAAAATAAGCATACCAACAAGCAAAGTGTAATTCAATTCATCTTGCAATCCTGACAATTGAACGAAGAACTAGTGGGAGGCCCTGTGAGTGAAAAATCAATATTGCAGCTTTGTGCCGTGCAAATGTGAATACTGCCAAATAGCAGTGCTTAGGGTAAAATGAACTGTTTTGCTCCATTTTCTCCTCTCTGAACAAATGATTTTGAAACGACAGCTTTTTTTGGAGCTATAAAATGTCAAGCAATAACTCCCTGCGCTTTAGGCAAGTGATTGGAATAAATACCTCTTGGCAACAGGTGCAATGACTTAGGACTGAAATTCATTTACATTCAGGAGATAATTCCCGATAAACAGATGCACTGCCACAGGATGGAAGTTTGAACGACCGGCATCTGAATGCTACTGCCTGCTCTTCTGCATCATTCCAGAGCTTTTTAGACGTAAGTATGTGGCTCTGTCAATAATTACTGTTGTCACTGGTAACTTTGTATCTCCAATGCAATTCCTCATGAATATTTTCAACGCTGTATTTTCTAACCAGCCTGCGTTCAACCTGCTGCTTGCCTTACTGTACCTTGCAGAAACCTCTTGTTTGGCTCTCCTCCTGCAGTTGAAATCAACATTCCTCATCTTCCTGCTAACAGCTTCAAGGCAAACTGTGCCACGGCTGACACTGCTCCTGCTGTCTGCCGCCCAAGAACGCAAAGTGCTTCCCCATTGCAAAGACCTTCCCGGTGCCAGGGCTGGAACTTCCAGCACAACCTAAACATTAACTCAAGCAAGCGTCTATTACCAAATGCAGCATATGCTGGCTCTGATTCATTGGCGTTTGTATATATTAATCAGTGGTGTGTGTGTGTTTTTTTTAAAATTGAAGAAGATTAATACCTTATGAGAAAAAGAGCATGGTTTCTGTCCTGCTGACCATTTTGATTATAGAAAAGCTTCCTGGCAAACGTATGTTTCCTGCACGTTTTATCTGCTCACAAATTAGTTGAGTGCAGGCTCTTTATTGAAAGAACAAAATAAACTGCTTTTGCGAATTCACATTTCTAAGAAAAAAAGGTAGAGGGGATTTTCAGTGGTAATACACATTCTTTAATGCTTTGTTGATCAATCCATGTAGAAAAACACACTGAGAAAGAAATCTAAATGAAACATCACAAACAAAAATCTTTCCTCTTACACTTTAGTCTATGAAATGGAAAAATACAAGTCCTACAAAAGAAATGTAACTCAGAACCACGTTTCAGAAATACTTTCAATTAACACTGGCTAAAAATTGGTTTAATAAGTTTGCAATGCCTTATTTATGGTCTTGGTTCCTTTGTAAGAAATGATTTGTCTTTAGAAAGATAACCTAAATTTGTCAAAGTGCAAAGAAAAGTTAATAATTCACAGCAGCCTGCCCACTAGCATACCATCTTTTTGAGCTGTCAATAATAAGAGAGTGTGCTAAGTTTGGCAGATGAAAGCAAAAAGGCACCACCACATTTGAATGTTCACCCCATACAGAGGGAAAATAGTGGAATGTAAACAGGCTAACATCAGTACTCCTCAACATCAGAAGCAAGGAACCTTTGATTAAAACTTAAAGCACAGAGAAAGTCAACATGGAAATATAAAATTATTTCAAAGAATGCAGATACTGGAAGAACTGAGAATCCAAAACAAATCTTTGCAGAAATAAATATATATGTGTCTGTGAGCAAGGAAATATTGCTTCTTGTGTTATTTGGCTCTAACAGAAAGGTCTTTTGAAAAGAGCACATCTTTTCAAACAGAATGTTTACAGTTGTCTCTTTCACAATCTCTTTTATTTTACCAAATCATGCAACATGATGATTCAAGTTCTACACAAGACGAAGTGATGCATCTTGGGCAGCATTTCAATAATATATGTTCAACAAATGCAAAGCCCGACAAAAACTGTGCTGAGGATCCTCTCCCTCTCCCAGTGAAGTGCGTACGTGTACGCACGGCGGGTGCACAGAGACAGCTGAACATACTTTGCCATCTGAAAATCATGCAAATGCTCAACATGGGCTCTGCAAAGCTTTTCTAATTCCACAGAAAAGCCTCAGCATCCTGCAGTTTCTAAAGAATCCCACGAACTCTGTCAAGGGAGATTTTTCTCCCCGTTTCTCAGCACCATATATATTTCACACAGACAAGCATGTTATTTTGTTAAACAGCTTTTAAATTATCCAATCCTGGTCAACAGATCACTACCAACTACTACAAAGATAGAGGCAATTTAAATGACAACTGTGCTTTCTAATTCTATCTTTGAAGGAAAAAAGTCATTCTGGCAAGCATGTCTATTAAAAGATTACACTGGCACAGTCAGAGCTTCTGATACTGCACAGAGGTCTGGAGTTCACAGCACTCAGCTCTTCTTTCAGGGAAGCCCAGCAGCCAGCGCGCAGCCAGCCCGCGCCGCAGCCCAGCAGACAAAAGCCCACTGTTCGGTCGGGGTAAAATTAGGCAGGAAGCTATCATTTCAAAAATATTCTCCTCCAGCTGTATTCTTTGCCATTTTAAGTATATACTCATTATTTTCATTTAAGATGCTGGAGGGAGGGCACATCTAGAGCAAAGGGATTGTTCAGTGAAGGAAATCTATTTTCTAGTTAGAGACATCTTTCTCGTTTTTAACTCATTAATAAAAATTGGATTAACTCAAAACAAGGTACATGAAAGTATATTCATTATTTGAACTTTAACAAAAAGGCCCAAAGTCCTTAAGAACATACTTGACCGTTTAAACGTGCACATAAATTACACCAAAGCAAGGCAACTATTTAATTGAATAAATTAGCTGTGAGGGGTGATTTTTAACACTGGTTTCTACACTTCAGTTTCTCAGATATACCGTTTCGTATTTCCATTACTTGGCTGAAATCTGGAAAACTGTCTCTTACAAACTAGAAATATGAACTGCTATCAAAAAAAGCTCTTAAAAATATTAAGTAACTAATGATGGCTTTCTATCAGTATTTTTTACATTTTATTAGATTGCAACTTAGTCTTAAAAAATTTTAGAATTTTAAAAATCTTTGTCAAATTTGAGTGTTTTTCAAGATTCAGTGTGAGCAGCAGAATTACAACAGTAAGTCATTTTCTGTAATTATATACAATATTCAGTGTACATACACATAAAGCACGGTATGTCTGATTAATGAAATTCAGGACAGAAGCCTGAGTTACGCCCTCTGACTCACACCAGGATGGGTCCTGCCTTCCAGGTTCACTGAAACTTATTACAATTTTCCTTTTACGTTTTCTAGTCTCCATGCAATTCTCAAAAATATCCCTGTGAGGCTCCCTTCAGCAAAAAAAGAGTCAGGGCTTACCTGCTTTCTGCACCTTCTTGAATGATTCAGCAAAACCTAAAGCGAGCAGCAGCATCTCTGCCTTTTAATGTAACAGCGTCGACGCTTCTTGTGTACAGCTGGCAAGGTTCTCATTTAAATTCTCCTAAACAGCTTTCACCCCTCGTTCAGAAGGGTGAGAATATGTCTCTCCAAGGTAGCAGAATTAAGGGGGGTTTTGGATTGTGTTTTTATTGGGGTTTGCTGTGGGGTTTTTTTTAAATAGCAGGAGAGAAAAGAGTGCCACATTGACAGACCTGCAGACCGAAGTCCCTCAATCATCCGGAACAAGAAGAGCCCAGGCAGCAGCCGTGCACGCATCCCCACATTAGTCCGTCATGTCTCAAGCCTATTTTGAAGGAATCACCACTATGGGAAAAGAGATAGTTTGGTCTTCATGCCCATTTAATCCTTCACCTCCCTGCTGAGGCTGCCACAAGAGTGCTAATTAATGCTAAACTGTGAAAATGGGCTCCTGCACTTTGAATCCAGCCACGCTGAAACTGGAGAGAAACCACTAATTCCTTTAATGAAAGTCACCAAACCAGAGCCTGGTTCCTGGCAGCGTTTTAGCAATGCCTACATATGGCAGATGGAAACCATGTGATCTAAACATGAAAGTCTAAATATCTAGTGCAAAAATATGCGTGTTGTTCGGTTCTCACTTAGAACCAAATTTTATTCTCATATGCATGCACCTTTCCCATCCCTTTCAGTGGAAGCTGTATGCATGAGAGCAAAACTTTGCCCTCTTGATCTAAAATTATCCCAGTTTGAAACAGTATTCATCTGTCAATGATATTTCTTTTCTTTTGCCAGCCAGATGTCTGTTCTCAGCCTGCAAGAATCTCCTTCCTTTTTTCCTTCACATCATAACACACTTGATCCTCTGCCAGCTCACAGAAAGCACTCTACCCTCTTCCTTCTTGCCGTTAAATACATTGCATCTTCAAAATTTCTCAATGCAAGTAAGTCCCGCGGACTCTGTAAATCCCCCTCCTGGAGGTTATCTCCAGTTTACCAAGTGTGAACTCTCCGAGCACACCACCTGTCAGGAAGGAGAAGCTTCTGAATCAGAAACAAGCTCCGAAACAAGGAGGTAAGACACACAAAGGCTGAGGTGTCAGAAATGTGGTGTCAACAGGATTTCCCGTTGAATTATTTCCTCTGCACAGGATGCCGGTAGCAGAATAAAAATAAGTATTCTTTTATTTTCTACAAAAATGTATTTTGTCAACAATTTATATTTCCAGTTATCTCAATCATTTTTGATTGGAAAACATGCACTGAGGAGGGGCGGGGGAAGAGGAAGAAAGGGGGTATGATTTCCATCAGCAGTATTCAGAGCGAACAGCTGACAAAAGAAATGCTTTTGTTCCCATCTTTAAGAAACCCAAAGCCTTGTCACCTCAGAGGTTGATAGAAACCACGCAGAGATGTACCATTTCCTTGGGAATATGTGCATTGGTGAAAGTTAAATCACTCCAGCAGGTGACATGTTGGTTGCCAGTAATAACCCTTGGTGTGCTGTGTACATCGCCTTCTTAAACGGGCTATACCCTAACCTGTTTAAGAAAGCAAAACATTTAATCTCACTCAAATGTAGAAACTGGACCCCGGTAATTCTGGCTCATTTTAAAGACAATGTTATTCTACAAGTGCCAGAACTTAAATTCCAAATATTGGCCTAGTGCTAAAAAATTATCACAGATTTACTAAAAAATATTGTATGATTGCTACCACATGGTAATATTTGAGATCACAGTTGTAAAATTACAAAGGAGGCGTTTTCTCGTTTAAAAACAGAATATACGTACATTAGAAATGGAATCAAGCAACAACGTAAGAGTTCATATACTCTCTTTTGTTTCCATAAAATGATGGGGTGGAGTCAATTGTCACAGTATAATATACAGTGGAAAAATTATGTGGTTAATTTTAATGATGGCAAGCCACTTAAAGAGTGCTTACGAGTATGCAAATAGCACAGCAATCCCCCCTTTCATTCAGTATAGCTTTCGAAACATTTCTGAGGACGCGGGAGTAGAAAGAAGAACCCTTGGAAACATAAAGGCTCAAGATCCCGCAGATGAAATTGCTAAACCAAAACACACAGTCATACCTTTTGAAAACAAGGAGAAGAGCAATGTGATGAATGTACTTTAAGGTAAATGTGCCGTCACTTCAAATATCCCCACAAATAGATATGAGACAAGAGTAGCAAGCAATCTTGGAAAATGCCTGTCAGAGTGAAAGGCTTTCTTCCTGACCTTACCTTCTACATTTGTGGATTTCAAAAAGACTATTATAGAGAGGAGAGGGATATACCATACACAGTTTTTACAACATTCTTAAAGTTCTGGCACATTCCGGGAATCATGGAATAATCCTATGTAGATACTTGAGAATATCCTCTGAATAATAAATTGCATGAAGAAAGGAAAACTATTGAATTGTTTATAAATAAATAGGTCATTTTAAAAGTCCTAAGGAATATTTGCAGTTCTACCATGCTCCCTGGGCAGCAGGGAGTAAGAATGGCAACAGAGTTACCACTTCCAGACTAAATAAAGGAAATACACACCTCTGGTACCCTGTCAAACTCAAAAATTCAGGGCTTTTGAATTTGCATTCTGGTTTTTAATCCTGGAATGTGTGTGTGTCCCCCCAGTTGTCACAATGCGGATGCAGGAACGCTCTCAGCTTTTAGAGAACCAGCTAATGAGTGCTCAAATGAAATAAATGAAAAATCAGGCTCCCTGAAATCTCTGAGTACTAAGACAGAAAGTAAACTATTTTCCATAATTATGTGATAGGAGTTCCATAATTAATGCTATTTACATTAGAAAGTAACAAAAGGGATGAATACACACTGTAGCACAACACAGAAGGGAAAACTTTGTATTCGCTCATTACTCCTAATTAGAAGCACACATCTAATAGCTGAAAGACTCCGCTTCCAAAGTTGTTCATAGATCTTAATACAGCCAATAATAAAGGAAAGGACTAGGAAAGGTCCGCGCCGGACCAGGGAAAAAATCATCATTAGGTGCTGAAGTAGAAGCTCAATATCCAGCAAGACGGAAGTACTGCACCGGTACTACAGATGTGGAAGGTAAAGTAATTTCCTCACTAATTAATGCATTTTGCATAGCGCTTCACCGCACCAGGTCACAGTTTGCTTTTAAAAAAAATCGCTCCCTACATATCTAAAGCAAGTATTTCAGGAGGAGGCAGCTGTGAAGTATAAAAGATCCGATTGCTCCGCTTTTTTCCACGCCACCTGAAATGACACTTTCCCACCGAAAGCACCGCGTTCTCTTGACGTGTTATTTAGCTGTACCAACAGGCGGACTTCGGCAAGGCAGAAGGGAGGGCTCCCGCTGC